TCATCAGCTTTTAAAGGCAAAACGCCTATGTGGCATCGGCTGGAACATGCTCGAAAGGTTTCAGAGATGTGTGGCAACAGTATTGTGTTTGTGATACAGTGAGTTTTCCTCTTGCTCTAAATATTTGGATAAAGTAATCCAAGTCACTTTTATCACTTCGCATCTGAATGACTGTTTAACCCTATTTGCCTGGCTCCATCGCCACAAGCTCGACTCTTAACAAAAACAATGTGTAGATCTTAACTTGCAGTTTGTTTTTATAATGCACTATGAACTATTGCTTTGTAAAGTCATGAAGTTAAACAGCCTCTCTCTGCATCAAGCAGCACACTGAACAGACACCTAAAAACTATAATAGTATTCTATATACTCCTACTATACTATACTATAACTGTAAAACTTAAAATGTCCGACACTGTTAAGTGTTGAGGCAAATGTTTTTATACAAGTCTGAAGTTTTGTGTACCTGGGACGTGAAGAAGGCCTCTGTTTCTTTCAGTAACTTGCTGAGTCTTGCGGTCCCTCTGGAGGGCAGCTGACAGTAGATGATACCATCTGCACACACATTTGTGACACACACCTCCTGATAGGTTGCATTTACCTACAGGCAACAGACAGATTCATGTTAGATAATAGATGGGGGACTGATAACATTGAGGACCTCACAATCATGGTTGACAAGCTGCTGATTTTAATTCCAACTGAATAAATCCTGCTAAACCATATGAAACTGCTCATTTGCTGCTTGGCTTTATACATGCATCCTTACAGTCAGAGGGTTGTTCATGGTGTTGTCCTGCAGAGCCTTCAGGCAGGTGGAGTTGATGTTGACGTCGTCATCCTGCGAAGTGTCGTACAGCACTGCCTCCGGAATCTCATTCTTTTGACACGGCTCTAATGTCTCCATTAGCAGGATTTTTCCCACTGCCAACTTGTCCAAGGAGGACAGCACCAGGGGATGGGAGCTGAATGCATCTAGACCTGGGAGAAGGAAGGGAGGAAGAGGGAGAGGGAGGACGAGAGAAGCAGGGCTATTAGTGACCTCGGACCTACAGTATGTTGTACATTCATTAGCTAATGTAAACATTTTTCACCTACATTAGTTACGTAAGTACGAGTCCTAAAGTCATTTCCTAATCTTCTCTGTACCTGCAAGTCGAACGTTTGTAGCCTGGAATGGCAGAGAGAGGAAGTCCTGGTGTAGCTCCAGCAGATTAGTCCCACTGGTTTCCACAGAGAAGCCGTAGTCCACATAGTATACCTGGCAAACAGACCGACAAAAGCTCTGCTGCTGCAAAAACACTGACCAGTTCTGTAGCAACCAAATGTGTTCCTCCGATAAACTGAGCGGTGTCCCTGTTCAAGGGCAGAATCCCCCAAAGTCTACAGTTCTGAACCAAATCCATCATGAAGCTCTGAAACGGCATTCACACCACTTGGAATTTGTGTTACAGTGAATGTATTTACACTTTTTGATGCTGATTAACAAAACTATGTTTTTTAAAGTAAAAACACTACCGTTTACTACAAACTAAATGAGTTACCTTGACCTTGTTAGGGGCCATAACCTCCATGACCTGAGCTCTGGCCAGGTCGTCTCCATCCTCCCCCTTGACTGCTACGAGCTGACCAACAACAGGGTTAGACAGAGGACGGTGGGTGGAGCTTTGGCTGTAGAAGGAGTGCATGGTGTCCTCCATGGCCTCCTGAGCATTGGAGTAGTTCTCACCTACATACCTGAACAGACACACAAATGTTTTTTCAGCTTCTCTCAATCTGTCCATGGAAGTGTTCAAAAACAGTAACCTGGTACATAACAGCACACTCACTAATACTTTGCGATGAACAATTCCTCACAAAGTTTTAACTTAGTTTTTAAAGTTTGAATCACTGTGTACCATGTTACAAGTTGTTTTTAGCTCACCTCACAGTAACAGCATTGCTGCTCTTGGCATCAGTAATCAGCACAGAGGGGTACTGCTCTGAGGGAAGAACCAGATAGGTAGGCTCCACAGATCCCAGGACCTCCAGACCAGAGGGAAGGGGAGGGCTTCTGCATTTCTGGCTTTTCTGGTCGTCTGTGTCTTCCATGTCAACTTTGAAGGAGTTATACAGGATGGCCTGACACACAGGAAAGTGCATAAATGACAAACACATTAATAAATACAAATATTTGAAGGTAAACGGGTAAACAGGAAAGATGTCCCTGAGCTCCCTGCGGTATTAAAGGTGACAGAGACAAAATCAGTATCACAACTGTTGGAAACACTCCAATTTCTCCAAACCAATCATTCCAATTTATCACTGGTCTGAGCAATAGGTGTGTAACTTTACACTACTCATTAAGACTAACCTAACTTGTACATTGTGTAAACTCTGGTACATGCTGTGCAATCCCATTCACTTACCTTCTTCTTGTCATGTGGTATGGGGTACTCCACGGTGCATATGTCCAGCAAGAGAGACAAGTTGTCCATGATATGTTCGGGGAATGACATTTTGTATGTGTCCATGAAGAGTTTGGGCAAAGCATGGGCCCACAGACCGTGACTGTACTTAGACAGAAGCTCCTTTATTCTCTGACGCGCTTCGGCTGACACAACAGCAGGAGATTTTGAGGTAGGACGAGGGGCAGAATCGGAGGTGGGGGAGAAGGTCACCTTCAAAAGGGGTAAAATGTCAGGGCCAGGTTGGAGAGAGGAAGCCAATGGAGGAGCGTTGGTTGATGCAGGGCAAGTCCGGGTATGGGCTGATGAATGAGTGTTTTGTTTGTGGTTGAGGGTAGTTACAGGTAAGTTCTGACGATCTTTACATCCACCATTGGCATTTACTGCAAGATTGATACAAGGGGGCAATCTGGGAGCGAGAGCTGGGTTGCGGGCAGGGCTGCGCAACGTAACCGAAGAGGCAGATACATGTTGAGGAGGAAAAATGAAGGTAGGCTTAGCCAAAGGGTTTTGGGGGGACTCTCTAGGTTTAGGAACAGGGGAGTGAAGGAGGGGACTGGAAGGTTGTTCGGGTGTCGAGGGACGTGAAGAAATGGGTGTGGTGATGGTGCTTGAGTCAGTGGGTGACGTTGGAGGTGTGGTGCTAAGTCTCGGGACAATAGAAGACTTAGGAGGCAGAGGAGGGTAGATGAGGCGGTCCGCTCGGCACCTGCTGGGAGAATTCTCCACCTGTGAAGGCCAGATGAGCCAGAGACAGAAGGAAAGAGATCGTAACCCTATAAGAGGGTTGAAGAGCGAGGCCGGGATTAAAAAGAAAACCGTCGAGCGAACCCTCGAGATTGGTAGTTGGTAAGCAGTGTTGTTAAAAGTGAAATAATGTTCGATCAGTGTCTTCGTGTAAAAGGTGAAAATCAAATAGTAGCAGCTGTAGAATATGAAAGGTTAAGGCGTTCCCATGTACTTGTTAAGTGAAATTAGCGAACGCGGGAGTGGCCGGCCGCGGGGGCGTGTGCGACAAAGGAGAAGGGAACACCTATTGTTTTTAGATGATGTTTTATCATTAATTTTGTTGTGTCCCAAATCACTCTAATATGCGCTCTGAAGACGTTGATGAAGCAGGAATGCAATGCAAAGCAGTGTTTCACCAGTGTTTACTCACAAGCTACTTTAATCTGCTCGCCTTGCTTTCTCTCTCTCCCCATACACACACAAACACTCTGCTCCACTCCTCACACAGTGGCTTGCCCCGCCCCTCTATGTTTCTCTCCAGCACTGTGTTTTATAAATTCACCTAAAAGACATAACTCGCATTTTCGATTTTTCATAAGTGATTTATTTTTTACAAAGGCAGTTGAGCCTTTTGGAGGAGGCTGGTTGTTAAATGAGAAACGATCAACAGTTCATTCATAATGCGATAAGAAATAGGCCTTTGTATGAGGTCATTTTATATACGTATAAACTATTTATTGGTCAGGATATGAGATTTTGGTCGCACATGTACAAATAAAAATGACTGACTCACCATACAGATGTGTGTCCACTTTTCCAGATCTACGAGCGCCTGAGGGTGGAGCTTCTGATTGAACATTTCACTGTAGACCTGTGACAGTTTCGACATCCACAATCCACTGTAGTATTTCTCCATGAGCTGAATGAATCTGCTCTGCACCAGTTCCACGTCATACAGACAAGACTGCATGGGGAGATGCCACAAGATTGATCACTACAAGTATGTCCTGTTGCTTTTTTGACTGAGATTAGATTTCTTTTTAAAATCCCAATTCAAAATAATAAAATGAACACACAGATAAGTACAAAACAAACTAATTAAAATAGATCATGGAAAACAACTGCTGTGACATTATTGGGTTGTGGCAAACAGAGGAGAGCACTGATAAATTATCTTCTTACAGTCTTCTTTTTATTTCAGAACATTTTATTTTATAAAAAGAAACACGTAAGAAGAAACTTTGTGAGGGCTGGTCTAAAACAGGAATTTAGTGAACTTTTGCTTTTTAAGAGACCAAATATAAAAGCAACAAGTAGAGCCTGTTTCTTTCTTAGTTGTACATAAACACAGAGCTGGCTATGCAACTCAATTTGGATTTACTCTTTGATTTGCAACACAAAATACAATGCAATGTTTTTCTGTACCTTTGATTGGTCAGTCCTGGGGACTTGTTCAGGAGGCTTCTCTGTGAAATGTTTGTGTTAGAGGAAGAGGAAAGGTTAACAAATGCTGACATCAGTAAACAGTAAGTCACTTCCCCGGGGACAAGTGCAAAAGGTTTCAGCGGCCTCTTTTATACCCCTTCAAATATCTTCTTGCAACAGCGACGCAATGATGTAACAACTAAGTTGATCTGCTAAATCATTATTGGGGCCAATAAAGACTTAATTTTATATAAAGCATTAATTTGATCCCTTGTATAGTGAGTCCCTGTGTGATCATGGGTCCGCCATACGCAGGTATTCAGTTCACGAGTACATTATCTAAATTGTTTTGGATTCATTTAAATATTATTTAAATATTGACCTATTTTAGGCCATGAATGAATTGTGTAGCTGTATTTTGTAAGCATTTTTTCGCACAGATAGCGACTCTGTGTTGCCGATTCACAATATTAACAGATTTGTTTTAGCTGATCAACAGAAGTAATTCTGAAAGGGTGAAAACCCTGGAAATATGAAACAAGATATAACATTTAGAATATATTCTAGCAATTTGATATTTTCCTACAAAAAATCCCCTATAAATCATTTAATCATTGGAAGACTTCATTTCCAAGAAGGTCCCACATACCTCTTGGCTTCTGGCAGTTTGTGAAGCTCTTCTCCTTCCTAAAACAGGTTGGTTTAGTGGGGCTGGTTTTCAGACATTCATTAAACCCACATATTCACATTAACACATTAAAATAATAATTACATTATATTAAAAGGCGGTGTCAGCATACTAACTTTTATATGTATGTGGTTATGAGTCATACACTCAAACTGTATAACTGCCCCAAATGAATGCTGTATATAGAAGAACCAGGTTATGTGTTTGTTCACCTGACAGGCATTACACATGGCTTTACAGCTGGTTGAGGAGCCGGTTGTCTGTGCTCAACAGGGGTGAGGGAGCTCAACCTGTGGTCCAACTGCCTGCAGAGGCAGAAGAATAAATTCCATTAGAGTCTTTAAAGCACAAGTGACAGAAAATGTTAGTTAAAGAAGGGAAACGCCACAAGTAGTATGTGAAAAAGAAGCCGTGTTACCTGACAACAAGTAAATGGTAAGACTAAGTGCAACTAATGCTCATTTGTTCACCTGTAGTCTCCTGCGGCACTGAAGCCTCGGTGTCCGCCGTAGGACCGAGAGCGGTTTGCCAGCCAGTTAGAGGAACCAGCAGCAGAGGGCTGGCGGAGAGAGGACCTTGGTCTCACTTCAAATGTGGAATAGGGGGACAAGAGGTCAGGTTAGAGTGCAAAAAGGAGGTAGCATACAGGGAATGAGTGTTTAAAAGGTGTTGGCTCTGAATATGAAGCCCTTTGGATAGATAGAGCCCTGATGTAAGAAACAAAGCTGAATGTTCAAGTGTCTCCTACCATTGAGCATGTATGGGTTGGAAGGTTTGAATCTCATCCTGCAGTTGACAACGTGGGAGCGACCAGATTTCTTGGAGCACTTCTGCTTGGCTACCAGCTCAGCAATGTGAGCGGTCTCCTGACACACTGCAGCGAAGCATTTTAACTACAGAGCAGATTCATTGTTACACTTCATGTAAAACTCAAACGAGGATGAAGTACAAACTGTTTTGTTTCTCAACTCTGTGCTGGTGCTAGCTGACCATGTACGGATGGAGAAGAATAAATCAATGTTACACAGCGTCAGATTAAGTCTATTCACAACTAGGTGAGACACACAGCCCTCACCTCACCCATGCGATACTCAAGGCGGACCACAGAGGGGATGCTCTTGAGGTAGTCCTCCAGTTTTGAGTAGCCCAGCTTCTTCAGCGGGATGTTTTCTCCACACAGTGACCGGTACTCTGACTGGAGGCTGTTCACGGACACGCCGGTCTTACTGGACTGCAGCACAGACCGTAACATCTTTTTTATGGACTCGCTGTCTGACATCTTGGAAAATATACACTGAAAAAGAGACACAAATACAAATCAGTGGGGTTAGAAATGCACAGGAAACATCTGTGGCAGTAACTCTCTAACTGGGTGAAAAGGCTGTTTGTGCTGTAGCTTTTATCCATTGTAGTGTTTTCAAAGCATTGTGTCTGTTGTATTACAGTCATGGCCATACGCATTGTCAAGCCTATTAGAGCTAATATTAACTTACATTTATTAAGTAAAACCAAGACACAAAGGCAACATGACGCACATGGGGGGGTGTTTGTGTGTCAGTACATAAAAATGAGAGCTGAACAATGTTAATTTAAGTTAAACGCATATAGAAAGCAGCATTTTATGGCACAATGCAAGCTATTATTAACCTGATTTAACACGCGGACTGTAGCATGTAGCTAAAGACTGCAGAGTTGGTCTTCGAGGTTTGCTGTAAAAATGTAGATTTAGGCACACATTGTGTCTTAAACCACTGGGGGAAATTGTTGTACATCGACTTTCAATGTCACATCAAGTTGTCGTAACGTTGGACATCCATTATTAAACTTTCCTCAGTCACAAAGTCACAAAGAAAGGACGGTGTTCATCAACGGACGTTTACCGTCGAACAATGTGGGCGCTGGCTAACGGCTAACAGTTGTTTGCAGTTAGCCGTAAAAATAAAGTTTATTTTGGCCCACAAATTACCTTTTTACAAACTAACTGAAAATATATATTCAATGTGAGCTCGAATGTCACGACAGATTAAGATGTTTCCTCGTTTACATTACCTGTAATTGTAACTAAAGCGTCAGTCAAACTGCCGTAGTCCTCTTTCACCGCATTCAAAACCACGCGCACGGCCACGCCCACTCGTTGTTAAGGTCACGGCCGGTCAGCTTCGTTTTTATTTATCTCAATTTATTTGTTAAACATATGACACAAATAAATCAAATACACGTTTAACTAGCTAAATGCCCCAACTGTGATCCACTTATAAATCTTGTAGTAAACGGTCGATGGATTTTTTTTTTTTTTTTTT